ATTTATGCTCCAACGAAGTCCGAACACTCGTCCGAATTTCGCTGGTTGAGGACCACTGTAAATCGGCGTGCACATCTGGCTGTGGCCGCCCTGCGAAACGTGGGAGTTGCGAGTCGAGAGTAAAGTATAAACTATGGGGTGCCACCCCATCTCGTAGCGGGCCTACCACCTTCTCTCGACCACCATAGATGTACCTAATATCATCGTCTACGCGAGTGTACACACGCGCGTTTCGTTATCAGTCGTATAACGTTGTCGACTCCGCCTAACGCCGAGTTTCCGTATGCACGAGGAGAGGACGTGCTTTTCGAGCGCACGAAATGGGGTGACCGAGCTGCACGCACACACCTAAATAAGCTCTAATACCAACACTGTCGGAGATTCGCGCACTTTTGTCCAACACTCGGTTAGCTACGCTCGCACGAAATAGAACGACCGATACGCGTAACCACGATCGAGGGAGGGTACGTACGTACATATGTACGACCAAAGAAAGAGAGAATATATATATATATATTTAAAAGGAACGTAGTAGGGTCGCGTACCCCGTAGAAACCAGTTTCCATGGTGGTCCAGATCTCTCTCCGTGGCAGCCAGAAATGCGCAAAGGGTTGCTAAAAGCCATTCACGGGACTAATGGCTAATGGGGTGTTCTTAACGCTGCACAGGAATCTACACTGCGTTGCTTGCCACCCTCGTCTCGAACCTTTTCGTACCTTTTCGTCCTTACGTAAGAGTGAATTCGTAACACGCGCGCGAGAGACACCGAGATGTTCGTTCGATTCTACTTTCGCGAGCTGTTTAATCCCTTGCCCTGCCGATTTTCTTCTCAGACTTCACGACCTGCAGTTGGTTATATCCAACGCGTTAGCATTGGAAACGCGTTGTATACACAGGGGCGGTTCGTTCAAGTGGACGATGCAAGAAATAGACAATGCATGAAAAAGCTCTTTTTGACCTTGAAATTCAATTCTGTGGCTTTTAGACTTTTTAACCGCGTATAATATGGATAATACGGCTATGTAAATATATCACTTTGTATTTACAAAATAATTCTGTTGCAAGTAAATAAAATCGAATATAGATCATTGTATATTACATTGAGAACTTGTCAAATTTTAAATATTTTGGTTGTTTTGTACTGAAAATTAGGTATTGACTATGTTGTTGTCATTTATTTTTATATTTTGCGGAAAATTATTCAAATCTTGGAATGACGTGCCATGTCGAGAATTTTTTATCCCAAAATTGTAATATTTTCTCAGTTTTAAGTATATAAATAATATTTTTAAGTAATATATAATTTATATATATATATATATAATTAAGTATGTAAGTAGTAATGTATAATTTGTATATATAATTAAGTATATATAATTAAGTAAGTATATTGTATATATAATTAAGTAAGTATATAAGTATTAATATATAATTTATATATATATAATTAAGTATGTAAGTAGTAATATATAATTTATATATATAATTAAGTATATAAGTAATAAAATATAAGTTTATATATATATATATATAAGTTAATAATATTTTTTTGTTTGAACGTGTTTTAATGTTAAAACAAATAATAAATTTATCACTTCTCATATTCAGTGGTATCATACCGACGAGTTCGAAAATGAAAGCGACGGACCATTGTGTATACGATTTGGTCACTCGTTACGGTCCGCAATCGGTTGCCCAACGCAACTGGTTAAAAGCACACGCGTTTCCGCGCCTGCAGAATGCCCAACGGGAGAATTATTATTTCGACGACTCTCGAACTGACAGTTCCAGTGTTGGAAAGTTCGGCTCGGTATTTCCTAGACGAACGAACGGTATGAAATTCGACGCGAGGGAAGCGAGTGACGCATCGATCACGAGCGACAAAGGCCAAAACGTTGAAGCGTCGCGTCGCGATGGGGGAAAACACCGTGCCGAGAAAAATGAAAGGGAACGCCAGAAACAGATAAACTGCAGTCAGGAAAGATCGTGGGCAGGATGTTACTTCGCGATAACCGTTCGGGGATGTAAAAACGAGGGCCCCTAATGACTTTCCATAAAAAGCAATTTGCGCGACAAGCGAACAAAGGGAGGGGGGAATGATGCCGTTTCTTTTCCCATTCCGTTCCACAGTTTTCACATTTTCCAGTCTTTTTTTCCCCCCCGTCGTTCGACACCGAAACGAACGTTCGTTTTTTTCGATAACGTTCGCGTTATCGTTCGCGACGCACAGCCGGGAACGAACAGAGGCGGGCCTTATCTTCAACGCTACGACATTCTTTCCTCTCGGTTCACGAAACGAAGCGAAGAACTGCAGACCAGGCGGTTGTTTCTCTGTCAATCCTTCGCCCAGCGCTGCGCACGCGGCAATTTATTTTCATTCAATATCTATTTTTCGTTATTATGGATGAATCACGGATGAACCGGCACGCGGCCGCCATAAATCCCGGGGGGCCCGTAAATACCGCTCAAGTCGCCGGGAGTGCATCCAAACTTTGTAATATCGGTTCTGTGCCAATATGTTACTATCTGACGCGGTGTAAATCCAAATTTGTTCGAACGAAAGTGTTATATACATTTTAATATGTAATAATAATAATAATAATAATAATAATATTACAATGTTGTAAATATTATAATAATTATTGTAATAAAATTACAATGTTGTAAATATTATAATAATTATTGTAATAAAATTACAATGTTGTAAATATTATAATAATAATAATAATAATATTACAATGTTGTACATATTATAATAATTATTGTAATAAAATTACAATATTGTAAATATTATAATTATTGTAATAAAATTACAATGTTGTAAATATAATAATAATAATAATAAAATTACAATGTTGTAAATATTATAATAATTACAATAATAATAATAATAATATTACAATGTTGTAAATAACCAACTCGAATTAATCAGCCAAGAAACGAAAAAATGGGCGTTTTGAAAAATTTTCAAATAACATTACTAACATAATTACATTTTAAAGTTATTTCAAGAGCAATCTATTTGCGAAATAACGAAACTATATTGTTAAGCATTTCATATAAGAATTAACTTACTTTCGATTGAATGATTTATTTGTTACTTCACGAAGTGAATTATTTACTATTTAGGATTCTTTACTTGTTATGTATTTGATTGTGATAGAAATAACTCCTTTCTCAAGCTATCACGTCCAAAGTTTGTATTTACTATTTCTTATTCTGCGACGACGCTTATCCATCAGATAAAAGTTGAAATGGGTATCGTTCGATTTTTGTTGGCGACGATAAAAGAAATTTAGTTACAACTATGTATTAGTGAAACAAGTATTTGAATATAACATTCCCGTTTACGTCATCAGTGGAGAGGGCTATTTTCATTTGCTTTAGCTACTTTAACAGATGTTCCCAAATTTTGTTCATCAACGGACCAAATGTTCGAGGACAAATGTCCCACTGACTCTACACTGCACTAGTAAATTATCTTAATCTTCTATACACTAGTAAATTATCTTGAGTTTCATTGATTATTTCTTTTCTCTTTTTTCACTTGAGTATCTTGGTTTAACTGACATTTATTTCGAATAGAAATAATTTTAAAGTGAAGTGCTTAAAGTCAACTATCAAAAAAATATTACTTCCTCGAATAACCAGTTCTTCTCTCAATTTATCATTTCCCCAATTATTATTCTCACAGTTTCGAATTCCTTTAATTGACCAAACGAGCTACGTACCATTCATCGAAATCCATTGTTACCGAACGACATTCAGTTTCAAAAATCTACTCGCAAATTATTGTTCGAGATAAATTCGCGCGAATCTTGTGAATGATCGAAGCTTAAGAAGCTTTAATAATAAAGACTATAGATATAGAAAGCTTAAAAAACTTCAATGATAAAGAGTAAGACCGAGTATTTAACGAGAAGAGTTAAAATCAGAGACCGAATCGGTATTACGAATAAAATACTGGTATTTTTAATGGTGCGAATATCGGTACGATGCTATCAAAACGATGTTAGGTCGGTAGATGATAGATTTCGGTATAATACCGGTAAATAAAATATTAATATATTAGAAAAGGAGACAATGATTAAATGTTTTCATAAAGCTGCCGATAGTAAATTTGATGATGCTTACACACGTATCCTTTATATTATTTCTAATACTAATTCATCGTTGTATCTCCATACAATGTCAGCCACGATACTCTTACTTAATTTTAAAAGACGACCGATCTCTCGATACGTTTTTCCTTTTTCTCGGTGAAAAATGACTGATTGTCGTACGTCGATAAATCGAAAGAGGAGTTTAAAACAACGATTAATCGTAGAATGGAAGAATATTCCGCTAAATTACTTGAAAAAAATTACTGGAAATATGCCTAAGCGTCTGCGACGTATTATTGAAGTTAAGGGCTACCTAACAAAATATTAATTATCGTTTATGTTAACAATTTTCAGGCTCAAACGTTGTAGTTCTTCAAATGTCCGAATATTTTTGCCACGCTACAAGTTCGACATAGTTCAAGTTTATTGTTTGACATTAAGAAAAGTCTGTGCAATAAATAAATAAAATTTACGTTACTATATAAACCATAATGAATGTTCTATTATATCATTAAGAAATTAATCCAAATTTACCATTATAAACAATCGAAATCCACAACAATATTTTGAACAGCATGATGCCCGAATATTAATAAGAGTTACTGCGGAAGATGCGAAAAATGTGTTTTCGTCAGTAAAGCGGTATATATATTTCGGTATTTTTATCGTTGTGGACGTTAAATACCGATAAAATACGTATGAAAATACCGGTATTAAAACCAATTTCCCAAATAGCGGTTACATTATGATATAATATAGGAGCAAATACCGGTATAATACCTAAACCTCACGATATTTCGGTTTCAGTCTCTGGGCATAACACCTAGATCTCAAAATATTTCGGTTTTCAGTCTCTGGTAGTAAAATAGCGGTGGCTGCTAAGCGAATCGATACAGTTTAGAAAGTTTTCACCTCCACTCTGGTGGAAGTATAAGCGAGCGAAGGAAACTCACCGAGTTGCGATTGATGCGTCGGCGTCGGAGCGGGCCTAACCTTGTCTGGAGGACATCTTCTGGTGGCAGCGACGGTGGCAGGCAAGGGTATGCTCGTGGTCCCAGCGCCAGGTCCGCCACCTGCACCGCCGACTGCCGACTGCTTGTTGTACGGAGACGGCAATCTGAAAACGAAAGGGATCAATTTAGAACGGAGTCGTCCCAACAGAGTCGTTATACTGTTGCTCAGACTGAAATCGTTTCCTCCCTCAGACTCGATCGTCGATAACCATTTTATGTGTACTTTGTAACCGGTTTTCCAAACAGTTCTTCTTCTGTCGCAATTTAGTTGTAACATAGCACGTACATATGTATTTAGTATGGTATGTCATTCTCCTTTCTGCCGCGTGAAAATTATATGTATTGTTTGTACATTTCTTCACTCGTGATTTAGCTATAGTATAGTATAGTATGTTATGTTATAGTATAATATTGTATAATATAGTATACTAGTATACTATTAGTATAATATAGTAGTATAGTACTATACTAGTATACTATTAGTATAATATAGTAATATAGTACTATACTAGTATACTATTAGTATAATATAGTAATATAGTACTATACTAGTATAGTATACTATAAGTATAATATAGTACTATACTAGCATAGTATACTATTAGTATAATATAGTAATATAGTACTATACTAGCATAGTATACTATTAGTATGATATAGTAATATAGTACTATACTAGTATAGTGTACTATTAGTATAATATAGTAATATAGTACTATACTAGTATAGTATACTATTAGTATAATACAGTATAACATAATATTAAATTTAGTTATAGTATTAGTTAGGTATAGTATAATATTGTATAATATACTAGTATAGTATACTATTAGTACAACAGTATAATATAGTATAACATAATATTAAATTTTATGTTATAAATATAATATAAAATATAATATGTACGTATTTAGTATAGTACGTTATTCTTCTTTTTCCTGTGTTTGTACATTTCTCCTCTCGCAATTTAGTTATAATGTAAAGTATGTTATGTTATTTGGTATAACGTATATATAAAGTATGGTTACACGATATAAAATGTATTTTAGTTATGTTTGTCAAGTACAAATATCCCGATTCATTCGTATCTCTTCAAATTGCGGCACGTTTTAAATGTCTCACGTTTCTAATAAAATAATCCACGCTCAAAAAAATCTGTCTTGCATTGTTCAATTAAAAAAAAAAATTACAACTACATTATTACTTAGTATTAGTTACAGTACTTACATCGTGGACTCAACAGAGAGTCCATCGATCTTTGGCGGTAAGGCTAAACGAAAAAATATTCCGTCTGAAAGAGTATGCAGCGCACTCAAAGAGTTAACAGAGCTCGCCAAACGGACGATCAAAGATTCCTCCTCAGTTTGTAGCTCGTGCAACCGAATCTCGCGTATTTTCTCTCAAAGTCAAAAAGACGGGAGAGTAACAGGAAAGGAAGAGAGACAGAAAGAGAGAGAGAGAAGAGAGTGAAGGCAGGGAAAAAGGGAAGAAAACTCGACGAGGGCGTTAACGTGGCCGAGAGGAAAACGCTGGCAAACGAAAACGAAGCGAAGAGGGAGAGTCTCGCGTTGGTGGTGTCGTTTCGCGATTCTTTCTCTCTCTCTCTCTCTCTTTCTCTCTTTCTTCTTCTAGTTGATGTCGTGAAATCGGTGCCGCGAAACATCTTTGAATCCGTCATCCAGCGAACGAGAGGGCGATACAAATTTTAATAAGCGAGCCATCTCGAACAGTAATGCGGGAAAAAATCATTTCCATCTACTCGTTCCCGTTAGTTTGTCACATTTCTAATTTCTTCTCCCTTTATCGCGAGAACAGTCGACGATCTGCATTTCAAAAGGAACGCGCCGGAATTTTAAACAGACTGTTGAATTACACCTTCGACATGTTCAAAAACATTTTCCATAGTTACGCTATAGTATCGATATACGGAAAGAATAAATTAAAAATTACGCGCAGAGTCGAGGAACATAATCCTCTTGTGGGGAAAAGGAATGTGAAAGGGAAAAACGAAGACGGGGAGAGGGTAAAAACCCATGAGACACGCGCCTATGGGTTCGCGAAACTGAGAAATAATTTGTGAAAACGATTCCCTGCACAAGTTAACAAGTTGAAAACCCTTGCTTATGCGTCGCGTCACCACTGAACGGTAAATATTTGGTTGAAACGACGTGGTCGGCACGTAGGTGCCCAAAGAAGCCCCTCTTTCTCTCCCATGCGGGTTCTCCTACGCGCGCCATTATTCGACGACCAGATTTCGCGTCCCCTTTGAATCCGCCGATGAATCAACCAATGAAGAACGCCAGCTCTTTCCTGGAAAACCAGCGCCGAAAGAATTCGGTCGTTCTCGTTTTGGAATGTTTTCATCGATACGTCAGCGAATGCGTTGCAGTCTGTTCCTTCTTTTCGGAAACCGAAACATGGACCGTAAAGGGAGCATCGTCCAAGTTTATCGCCTCCGATATATTTCCGTCGTTTTCGTTTTAGGTGTGAGAAAGTGCACGATGATTTTTTTTTTTTTTTTTGTAAGTGGGAAGATTACATCTCCGCTTTTTTAACGTTCTAGAACTATCAAAATGGTCAAAATGACCGGTTCATAATTTTAGATAGGTGTAAAATATGTGAAAAGTATTACAAAGTGCACTGTGTTATAAAGTCTTCCTATTTTATTTTCTTTATTTTAATGGTTTCATATTCTATTTTTTTTTATTTTAATGATTTTTATTTCAATCTCTGATGGAAATTTTGTAGTTTCAGCGTTAAATGGAACGATATACTTTTTGATTCATAATTTTAGATAGATGTAAAACAATATATATATCTCTTTTTTGATGATTTAGATGATTTCTCGTAAAATATATGAAAAGTATTACAAAGCGCATTGTATTATAAAGTCTTCCTATTTATTTTATTTTTTTATTTTTTTTTATTTTAATGTCTCTGATAGAAATTTTGTTTTCAGCGTTAAATGGAACGATATACTTTTTGATTCATAATTTTAGATAGATGTAAAACAATGTATTCTCTTTTTTGATGATTTAGATGATTTCTCGTAAAATATGTGAAAAGTATTACAAAGCGCATTGTATTACAAAGTCTTCCTATTTTATTTTATTTTTTTTTTATTTTAATGTCTGCTGGAAATTTTGTAGTTTCAGTGTAATGTTAAATGGAATGATATACTTTTTGATTCATAATTTTAGATAGATGTAAAACAATGTATTCTCTTTTTTGATGATTTAGATGATTTCTCGTAAAATATGTGAAAAGTATTACAAAGCGCATTGTATTACAAAGTCTTCCTATTTTATTTTATTTTTTTTTTATTTTAATGTCTGCTGGAAATTTTGTAGTTTCAGTGTAATGTTAAATGGAATGATATACTTTTTGATTCATAATTTTAGATAGATGTAAAACAATGTATTCTCTTTTTTGATGATTTAGATGATTTCTCGTAAAATATGTGAAAAGTATTACAAAGCGCATTGTATTATAAAGTCTTCCTATTTTATTTTATTTTTTTTTTTTATTTTAATGTCTCTGATGAAAGTTTCAGCGTTAAATGGAATGATATACTTTCTGATTCGTTACTCGACGATATTCGATACATTTTGTAATTTGTATACCTGAAATTATTAGTTTCAAAGATAGTTTAATTTTGTAAAGAAGTATTCATTGATTCGTATGTCTGAAATTATTAGTTTTAGGTCCTAGACTCTCCACTGTTCTCTCCAATCTCGCGCGGCGGGGAAATTTCAGTGTAATGGAGGGGCATAGCACTAGCGATCAAGAAAGTAGGGGAGTCGCCGGCCGCCAGTTAACCGTCCTTATTTTAAAACTTAATCCCGTAAAATCTATTACATGAAAAAATACAAACAGAAAACACAAACGCAATATCTTCGTACCTTTGTCTCTCATGCGTAACTTTTATAAAATCAAAACTAAAGTTCTCTACTTGTATAATTAATTATATTATTACATTATTTCATATTGTTCAAGTTCCATAATGTTGAAACTAAAGTTTCACGACTTTTGTCCTGAAATTAATAATTTTTCATACACAGATTACTATAAACATTAAGTCAATAGAAAAGAAATTTTATAAAATTGGAACTAAAGTTTCAAGACTCTTATCCAAAATTAACAATTTTTCGACGTACACGAGTCACTATAAACATTAAGTTTAACAAAAAAGTTTCAACGTCTCCTGTCCTTAGTTAACAATTTTCAAACACGGACAGATCTGATTATAAATATCAAATCAAATAGAAACAAAGTCACTTTCAAACAAATACAAACATTCCACGTCATGTTATAAAATTTCAACGAACGATATCAAATTTCAAGGATATAAAAATCACCTGTTTGCAACGTTGCTCGGCACGCGGACGTTTCTCGAACACAATTCCGATACGTTTTTTAAAATGAAACGTCCGGTGCTCGGACAAGCACCGTGGATTAATACACGCGATATGCATATGCATGGGCTGTTCTTGAGCCCCAGCTCCGCGGGATATGCATAAGCCGCGATTATTTCCGTGCCTACGGGCAAATCGCACGAAACGAGACGCGTTAATGGTCGACCTCCTTTTACGACTCGAGAGGGCGGAGGAGGAGGAGGAGGAGGAGGAGGAGAAAAATGTCGAAACGATCGCGGTTACGCGCGTATTATAACGCGCGAAGGACGACCAGGCGTTTTATCGTGGGGCCGATAAGCGAGATACGTCCCGGTGGTTCCCTCAGGATATACATACGAGGATACTATCGAGAATCGACACGAGGATCGTGGCCGGTTATTCCGTATGAAAAACGAATCATCCGCGCCCACGCGGATTCGAAACTCCAACCGCCGAGATAACGCGTAAATATGTACGTGCGTCGCGGATCGTTGGTTCAACGTTCAATACCAAATTGGATGGTTCTAGTTACACACGTAGTTAGACAATCCACGAGGAAACGAGCAGAGACGCACGAGGTCTGTGTAAGTAAGAGGCTCCGCTTCGGCTCAAACACTATAATCTTTTGCCTTTTGCTTTTATCTGTCCGCGCGTAACACGCTCGTTCTGTCATCCATCCAGTGCGCGTACGTTCGCCGAAGATAAGACGC